ATAAAGAAACATCGTCTTTTTCCCTGTTTAGAAACAACCTTTGAAATTTAAAAATATGGCACACAAAGAGTTAGCTCCCTTAATGAAATTGTGAAACCTGATAATCGAATATTGACTTTTGAGACAAATTTTTCCAAATCATTAAAACACCCCTGCTTTCGATTTATATAAGAATTATCCGTCCAATAATGGAATATATATATAAATAAATGAAAATAATGAACCGAACTTTAAGAGGTAGTATTCCTGTAAAAAGCTATATTTTCGACAGATTTGGGTCTTGTACGTAATATGTACATAGTCCTCACAACTACTAGATCTCCACGAAAGAAACATAGTCCTGTCAAATATACTTCAAACTAGAAATTTCACGTTCATCTCTATATATGATGTAATTTCTATATACGACAAAGTATCAAAAATAAAGACGAGTCATCATTTTTAGCCTTCAAAAGCGGATAATTTTTATATACTACAGACTATATTTAGCTTTCAAAAGCGGATAATTCCATACACACATGGATTTGAGGGCTAAAATTCCGACGGTGAGCTGTGAACACATTATCCTATCTTAAATAACCCGTTTCTGAGAACAAGCAACAACGCAACAATGTATGTGTTATTTTCATGTAAAAATCATATACATATAGTTTCGTATGATAAACAGTCCACAAACCTAAATACATAAAATTCCATGGATTGGTACAGGTCGAGAAAATGCTGATAAAATACATGGATCCTTCTATTTCCGATTTCGTTTTCAGAAAATTAGAAAATTTCAGCTGCTAGCCTAATCCTTAAGTATCTACCAAAGATGCGTCATTTTTCACTTGGCTGTAGTTTAAGACTATTCGAATAGGAATAAATATATAGGATAAAACATCTGCCAGTAGCGGCACCAGTGAGGGCATAAGGGGAAAATAAATTGCACCCAAATTTTACATAAGAATTTTGTTCGTTTTTTTTCAGAGTGTACCAAATCAATTTAATTTTAAGAAAATTTTCTTGGGACACCTGTCACAGACATTCCACGAGAGGCTTTGGACTATGACTCCTCCAATTTCAATCAGCCTTGAGAGTAGCCCCCTCCCCCCGTTGAGCCGTCCGATCTGGAACTGGGATATTTCATTTTTTTTATTGGTCAAGAAATAAAACTACTCAAATCAATTGCATATATTTAATTACCGACACCAAAAGAGACAATTGATCCATTAAATGCACAATAAGAATTAAATGTAAATAATAATAATAATAAATAACAAAACTTGAAACATATTGTTACTCAGAGCTGCACGATATTCAGCAAGTGACCTTTTTGAGCGAGCACTATTGTAACAGTGAAAATAGTTTGTTATTCTAGACAGTAGTTGTATACTGTATCGAAATTGTTAAAAAATGCCTTGAGAGTAGCCCCCTCCCCCCGTCCGATTTGGAACTGGGATATTTCATTTTTTTTTATTGGTCAAGAAATAAAACTACTCAAATCAATTGCATATATTTAATTACCGAGACCACACAATTGATCCATTAAATGCACAATAAGAATTAAATGTAAATAATAATAATAATAAATAACAAAACTTGAAACATGTTGTTACTCAGAGCTGCACGATATTCAGCAAGTGACCTTTTTGAGCGAGCACTATCTTAACAGTGAAAATATTTTGTTATTCTAGACAGTAGTTGTATACTGTATCGAAATTGTTAAAAAATGTCTTGTTAAGAAAGGTTTGTATTTGTAAATCATCTGCCTCTCTGCGTAGTTTATCACACATTGTAGTGGTCATAGAGCAGAGTGGTCAGAAACTTTTACATTGAGAATTCAACAGACAATAGCTTAAAAAGATAAAAAAGGCGAAGAAAAATAAAATATAATGACATGGCGTCCATTTCTATCGTAAATGCATGAGGCTTTCAATCATTATTGTATTTCTTACCATCTATTATTTTTAATTAAAAGATTGTGAAAAGGCCCTGCCCTCCACTTTTTATACTGCTGTCTAATATTAAACGTAGAAAATAAGTAAAATCCTATGTAATAAAATGTGTAATGATTATCAGGTTTTATAAGTTAGAAACCACTATGCGGAATAAAATTTTCCTCTTTGATATTTAAATTTGATAAAATAAGAGAGGACAAGAAAAAAATATAATTTGACTATCGAATATTTGCGAAGAATAATAGGATATCATTAACCAGATCTTATAAATGATCGCCTGATTCGGATTCTGAACCTGCGTTGACGACGACCGTAAAGACGGATTCTCCTGATAGTGATAACTCTTCTGAACCTTCGTTGTCTACGTCCGAAACGAACAAAACGACGGCGTGTCAATGACCTTAATATTCTCCTAAAACGTGAATATGGATGGTGATATCCTGAAAAGAAAATATTCAAATTATTCTTACAATTGTAATAGTTTTAGTACCTAATATTGAATAAAACTATGCCATATATGGCTTAATCATACAACATCTCTTGATATATCGATAATGATATAAAGATAAACCTTTTTCACAATTATTACCCACAAATCCTTTAGGACAGTCACACTAAAACGTGGTAGGACAAGAAGTTTCACCATTGAGACAAGGATAACTATCACAATAAGATTAACGCAAGTCTCGTATAATTTTATAAAATTGTAAACGTTATTACAAAGCCATCGTTCTCGAATTCTTTGAAAACTCATTAGAAAACACAGTCCCTAGTGGAATTTCAAGACAATTATTCGTCATTTCCAATTATAATAATTATTACCAACCTATATCACATGTTTTACCCTTGAAACCTATAGGACAGTCACAGCTAAACATTCCTCCAGTTGTAGGACAACAAGTTCCACCATTATGACAAGGATGACTGTCACAAGGATTTATTGCTAATGGAAGATAAAGCAGAAAACTCTCATTAATACGAAGGTAAATCTCTTCTAGTTTTAGAAAATTGTAAACGTATTTAAAAAGCCATTGTTCTTGAGTTCTTTGCAAAATCATTAAAAACACAGTTCCTAGTGGAATTTGAAGAAAATTATTTCTAATTTTCAATGATTATAATAATTACAAACCTATATCACATGTTTTACCCTTGAAACCTCTAGGACAGTCACAGCTAAACTTCCCTCTAGTTGTAGGTAAACAAGTTCCACCATTATGACAAGGATGACTGTCACAAGGATTTATTGCTAATGGAAGATAAAGCACAAAACTCACATTAAAACCAAATTAAATCTCTTATAATTTTAGAAAATTGTAAACGTTTTTAAAAAGCCATTGTTCTCGAGTACTTTGCAAACTTATTAGAAAACACAGTCGTTATTAGAATTTCAAGAAAGTTATTTGTTATTTCCAATGATAATAATTATTACAAACCTATATCACATGTTTTACCCTTGAAGCCTCTAGGACAGTCACATCTAAACCTCCCTCTAGCTGTTGGATAGCAAGTTCCACCATTATGACAAGGATGTCTGTCACAAGGATTTATTACTAATGGAAGATAAAGCAAAAATCACATTAAGACCAAATTAAATCTCTTATAATTTTAGAAATTTGTAAACGTTTTTTAAAAAGCCATCGTTTTCGAGTACTTTGCGAATTCATTAGAGAACACAGTCCTTAGTGGGATTTGAAGAAAAATTATTTACGATTTCCAATGAAAATAATTATTACAAACCTATGTCACATGTTTTACCCTTGAAACCTCTAGGACAGTCACAGGTAAACTTCCCTCCAGTTGTAGGACAACAAGTACCACCATTATGACAAGGATGACTGTCACAAGGATTTAATTCTAATGGAAGATAAAGCACAAAACTCACATTAAGATCAAATTAAATCTCTTATAATTTTAGAAAATTGTAAACGTTATTAAAACAAGGATGACTGTCGCACGGATTTAATTCTAATGAAAAATGAAGGACGAAACTTGACAATAAAACTAATTGAAGTCTGTTTTAGTTTTAGATCATTGTAAACTCTATTAAAAAGCCATCGTTCAAAAATTCTTTGCGAACTCATTTGAAGACACAGTTTATAGTAGAATTTTAAGAAAATTATTTGTGATTTCCAATGATTATAATATTTACCAACCTATATCACATGTTTTACCCTTGAAACCTCTAGGACAGTCACAGTAATACTCCATTCCAGTTGTAGGACAACAAGTTCCACCATTATGACAAGGATGACTGTCACAAGGATCTAATTTTAATGAAAAATAAAGGATAAAACTCTCAATAAAACTAAGGCAAGTCTCTTAAAGTTATAGAAAATTGTAAACGTAATCAAAAAGCCATTGTTCACAAATTCAAGTTGTAGCAAAAATTCCAGCAAAACTCACATTAAGATTTGGAAATAGTTTTAAAATTGTAAAAAAAAAATTTAAAGTCTTTGTAAACTCATTAGAAAAATCAATTGATGGTGGCACTTCCAAAAAAAATATTTGATTTCCAATGATAATAATAATTACAAACCTGGATCACATGGTTCATCTTCAGGAATTGATTCTAATGAAAAATAAAAGACAAAAATCACATTTAATCTCTTATAGTTTTAGAAAATTGTTAACGTTTTTAAAGATCCATTGTATTTGAAATATACCCATTAGAAAACAAAGTTCGTTGTGGAATTTCAAATTATTTCTGATTTCGAATGGTAATAATAATTACAAATCTATACAATTTTCAGTCGAAATGTCTCAAGCTTCACCATTCATACAAACAACATAGGTACAAATATCACCTACTTATGGATAATAAAGATAATACGCCCACACAGAAGCTGTATTGATTTTTTTCTTTTAATAATTTACCATTATGATTCATGTTTAATCGGTCTTGTTATAAGCAATACACCTTTCCAAAAGTGTTTTCGAATTAAAATCTAAATTACATCAAAATAAATTGATAACTGTGGCGTCTGTCTTTGAGTCTTGCAAATAATTCAATCTCCGCAGAATTACTGACTAAAGGAATGAAGTACATATTGACGAAATCCTCAAAATAATATTCTGGCGCATCAATGAGTAGTTTGTACAGAAAACTGAGGTCACATAGCCCATTTGTTCTATTAAACATTAAATTAGAGTGAAATTACAAAAATACTTTTGGCACTGAACTTTTTGACAAGGAATTTTTAAAATGCTGCCATTTCAAAGTGTTTTAAACTACGAAGCGAACATTTTGTAAAGAGAAGCCTAATACATTCAGAATAATGAGGTTACAATTTTATGACCATAGCTTTGATACGGTAATAATAACTCTGGAATGAAAAGTTCATAGGTCAGATATCAAATTAAAGAAAGACAAATCTGTTTCTAATCATTTCAACTTGGATGACCATTCATCAGATCTTATCTTAACCCCCATTGAGCGCATAGTGATCTATCTGCCATAAGATGAAACTTTGAAATTCTGTTAAGCTTGGGAAACCCATTGAATTGAGACACTAAACACAGCAAGGTCGGATCGGACTGAATATTCATCATAATGCAAGCATAGCACTATTCGTTGTCTTGTTCAATACCACCAGCAATCGAGAAGGGAGGAAAGCCACGCCCATTATGAGAATCTGCATGAGAAATTCCACCATGTCTAAACAGTTCACTACCCGTAGACATAAAATTCTTTGGTCAGACGATGCTTAACTTTACAATAATTGTCATCGGAGACGCGTAAAATACTGTATGGGAAGAAGAAACCCTTTTTTACACGTATAACTACCCTACCCAATCATCTCGGCATTGATGCCCCGTCCGTAGGTAAAATGAGAAGAAATGGCTTTCACACTCCAACCCAGATTTGCGAAAGCACAACTTTTCCTTTAATTGATCATAATTTTACAAGAGAATGGTCCGGTTTCCGGAATGGTGTCGTTACCTGAAAAGGTTCTAACCCTGGACGAGTTATTATTAGATAAGAAAGAAGAAAAATACCCCGCAGTTCTAGACCTTTAATATATTTTTTTAATGAAGTATTTTTTCCATCCTAGGCCTGTACGCTTCTGAGCGAGTTTACGTATATATATTTCAAAGTTTGTTAACATTTCCCGATATAGAAATATATATTTTAATTTCAAAACCATCAGACTATTCAAACACTTCTCCACAGGTCAATGACTACGCGCACATGTCATGATATCAAAGTACATTTTTGATGCCTTCTTTTGGTTGGTTGTAAACACTGTATGAAAATTTATTTTATTGTGAAATAAACATCAAGTGACTTTTTGACTAAATTCAGCTCCTTGAAGAATTTATATCTTGTCTATTTATATACTTATTGAAGCTGTGAATTTGTACATTTTAATTCAGTTTATTACAACTCAAACAATGCACTATACAACTCAAACAAAGTACTATACAACTCAAACAATGGACTGTACAACTAAAACAATGGACTATACAACTCAAACAATGGATATTAAAATCACCTAGTTTCTGTATATAACCAACAGTTTCTTATTAACAATAATAAGGACCTTGTTAGAATAATTTTACACTGAATGTGGTCAAGGCATAATTTCATCTGATATAATATTTCGAAGATATTAAAATTGTTCAAATTACCAAAGTAATCAAAAACCGGAAGTAATGTACCAAAATTAAAAGTCTAAGGTATCACTTACAAAAATAGCCAAAGGAGATATTATGGTAGAAAAATGAAGGTTGTGTCAAGAGTTACGAGACGAGACGAAATCGATATTCAAAAGGTGCCTTAGGGGACCTCGGTAATTATCCAAATTTCATTCAAATCAAGTTTTAAACAAATCGGCGTCTGCAATAATTTTTTTTTTCAGATAATTTTTTTTTTACCAAGATGGTGGCTTAACGGTGAGGATTTAGCTTACACGACAAGATGGAAATTGAACATATTGCCTTTTTGGTCATTTTCAGCTGTTAAAATGTTAATTGAAAAATCGGTCTCAACTCGTGGAAATCGGATAAGAATTTTAATACAGAAGGTTACCCTTTAATAATCGATCTTAGACCACAGACTCGAGTTTTTACTGACATCTAAATAAACGAAAGCAACATATTGGCGATCCATTGGTAGCAGTCAATGAACTTTTCAACAGTCTTAATGTCTTAACCACGGGAGTAGGAGCTCAAACAATTTTAGGGATTATATTCATTAAAATCGTATGACATTATAAAAACAAATGTCACCAAGAAAAGGAAAAAAATTGATTTGATCGTGTTTAGAAGCATCTAGAGGAAATTGAGACGTCACTAATCGGAAGTTCAAATATTTTCCTATTTTCCTGTCACTTTTTATGTTGTTTGTATAGAAATTAGTTAAAATAATATTTTAGAATGCAAATATAATCTCGTTAATTTATACCATATTATAACAAAATCCATGAATCAGTCGTAGTAAACTGAAGTCTAGCAACTTAGCCGACTAAGCCGCTGGAGTTTCATCCGAGTGGGTCACACAGTAATCGCAAAGACAAGGTCTAGTATTAATTATCATGCATGCGGATGTTACCGTGCTTTTGTGTGAAACTCAGGAGAACTTATAAGATATGTTAAACGTAGTAAGCAGCTGCTGTGAAGGTACTAATGTTAATGTACATAATAACATAATCATGTTAGAATAAATTATAAGCAACAACCTATATACATTTATATATTCATTGAATTTAGTTATTTACTCATAAACTAAGATTACTCATATTCTCTCACTGAATACTCCGTCGTAAACGACTTAGTCGGTCAGGAAAAACCAAAGATCAAAAACATTAATTGAAATACTGAAAATAAACTCTGGAAACCTGTGTCTGATACCTAATGCAAAAACCGTCTCGAGAGTCGATACCCAGACTTGTATTCATGAATATATTTCTAATAATATTGAAACAAAATTAAACTTTGCGTCTCGTAGGAAGGTAGACTAGAGAAAGGCATCTGTATTCAATCAGTTACCGAGGAAGGTAACCACCACGTGATAAAATTATCACGTGTCTACATTAACAAATCAAACATACAACTAGAACCGTTATAACGGTACTGAAGCAGTGCGCATCTAACCTGATACATCGATAAAACGTTGCATTTTAAAGTCACAATGGGATTTCTTACCGGAAAAGAAAAAGAAAAGCATGTAAACGTTCACTAGTAAAAAAAATCGTTTAAACCGTTTACCGTTCGGTAGTGAAAAGACGCATGAATTTGAAACCATTCGGTACTAAAAGGTGTTAACATTCGGTAGTAAAAAGTCGAATTTTCAAATAGCTGTAAAGTTAAAAGTTCAATTCGCACAACAAAAATGAAAATATTTTTGGAAAGGTACAATAATTTGTGTTTCGGCCAAGAGGTCAACAGAGGTCAAATAAAAGAGAATATAAGCTTTAAAAGTGTTGAAAATTGCTGTTTTGGGACGTTTGTAAAAGCGAAAATATATGTCGGACATCGAAGATAAAAGTATGAATGGACATCGTAGATCAATAACCTTTGACCTTCTAAAGACCAAGATTATGCATGTAAATGGTCAAAATATCAAAATTTTATAAATTGTAAATCCTATTCCCTTTTTTAAAGTAAAAGGCCTAAACAAAATGCAAACTTTTCGAGTTATAACAATTTGAATTATTTATAGTAAAGGTAAAAGTAACCCGGATTTGCCACGCCCACTGCAAAAGATTTGTGTTGTCTGTAATAATGTGTACAATGTCAAATAATGTTCAAAATTTCAAGTGTTTACAATCATTAGATCATGAGATATTCGTAATTAAAAGTTTTTTTTAAGGCAACGGTGACTGTCGGTGGATTATAGAAACCGTAAAATTACGCAAAGTTACTATAGAAGTCAATACAAAATTTTCAAATTCAATTTTAATCAAAATACCAAGTGTTATATATCATTTGAAAGAATAGATTGCGTGTAATAAGGACAAAAGATAAATTTTCGCTTATGTAAATTAGGTCACGTGATAGACCTTTTTTTAAAGTTAAAAATCGCGATTTTCAATTGGCTGTAGAGTCGGAAGTTAACAATGCACAACAAAAGTGAAGATATTATCGGATATATCTCGTAAGGGGCAACAACTTTTGTTCAGGTCAAAAGGTCAACAAATGTCAAATAAAAGTAATATGAGCCTTTGAAGTTTCGAAAATTGCTGTTTTCGGACGTGCAAAACCGGAAGTATATATCGGACATCAAAGATCAAAGTAAGAATGGTCATCCTTAATCAATGACCTT